GCATCTAAAAAGGTGTTCAACATCATTAGTATTTAGGGAAATGCAAATTAAAATCATTTTAAGATTTCATCTTACCCCAGTCAGATTGGCTAAGATCAAGAGAATAAATGATACCAAATGTTGGAGAGGATGTGGGGAAAGGAGAATGCTCATCCACTGCTGGTGGGATTGCAAACTTGTGTAATCCCTATGGAAAACAGTGTGGCAAACCCTTAAAAAACTAAAAAATGAACTTATCATTTGACCCAGTTATACCACTCCTTGGCATATACCCAAAGAACTCATCCTACTTCAGAGGCACCTGCACATCCATGTTTGTTGCTGCTCTTTTCACAATATCTAAGAGATAGAAGCAACCTAAGTGTCCCTCAACTGATAAGTGGATAAAGAAAATGTGGTACATTTATATAATGCATTTCTACTCAGCAGTAAAGGAAAATGAAATCATGAAATTTACAGGTAAATGGATGGAAGTAGAAACTGTTATACTAAGTGAAGTAATACATACTCGGAAAAACAAACAACATATGTTCTCCCTCATATGTGGATCCTAACATCAAATCCTTATAAGCTGAGTGTATATCCAGACATAACTACAGGAACCAGGATAATGAAAAGGAACCAGGGAGGTCAAGGAAAAGAAAGAGGCTGAGAGATAAGAACAGTAGGAAACGGGTTTTACTAAGGGAGATATGGATAAAAATGGGGTTATTTAAATGGTAGGGGGAGGGAGGGTTATACAAGAAACATTGGGGATAAAGGAAAAGAAGGAGGTCTAGAGAAGTGGGACCATAGGAGAAGGGTATTATTAAGGGAGAAATGGGAAAAATGGGGGCACTTTAAATGAGGAAACCGTGGTGGAAGGGTTAGACAGAGAGATAAATAATGCCTAGTTTTAAAAAAACAGAGGGAACTATATTAGTCCAACAACCTACTGACAAATTATACATACAACTAGTTCAAGGAAAAAAATATATGTCTAGTCAAGGTTTATCTGAGAACATTTGGTTTTTTCCCAAGCTTTACCTACATATCACATGGTAATTAAAAGTACCAGACTTGTGGAACTAACCTTATTGGATGTTTAACAGCCATACTTTGAGGCCTATACTAATCTGGTCAGAGGGACTTAAAGGACAGCTTTGCTCCTTGCCTTCCTAGGTCGACTAAGTTCCAGGGGGCTATGGAGCATCTCTCAAAATGTCCTGTAACTGTGGTGAGTCACTTGTCCTCTTGTTGATGGAGGCTATGGAGACCCCACCAGATGGACTTGAACTAGTGTCCAGTCTACAAAAAGAAGAGTCAATACAGAGGAAACATTTCCTCCATGCCTCCAAGTGAAGCCAACCATGGTCGAGCAGGACCTTTGACTTATCTTCACATAGATGGAACTGGTAAAAGAAAGGAGCCAGGGGCTCCTCCCAAGTCCATGTGACCCCTGAGGAACAGATCCTCAAACGACCTTAAGAGTAAAAATAAATTGGTTTATTTGGGCCAACTGTATGGTCTTAAACACCCAAAAGGAAAGAATAACCAAAGATTAAAGTGATCAGTATATTTCTTTAAGAGTCCATGTGTATAGCTAAAGGCTACATAACAAGAAACAGTGCCAGACAGGAGATACCTTCCTTTGAGTTGTTGGCCAGGGTGGTCCAAGAAACTCCCAAAATTACTGAGGCTATTGCCACAGCCCTTGATGGCCTCCCAGAACTTGAAGGTAAGACTCTACTGCTGAAGATAGAACATATGTCAGACACGGAATTTGGAGAAATAGAGCTGCAACTGACCTGGAAGCCACTTCCCCTGCAGGCTAGCTCTCATAGCTTTGGAGAGCACTATGAAAGTGCCAAGGGGAAACATCAACGAATGATCCAGCACCAGCTTCAAGACCAAATAACCACATCAACAGCCAGCATAGCATACTCCATTGATGCAGTAGTGGCACTTTTGTCTTGGGGGCAATCAACAGCTACCTAATTTGACTAAAATCCCACTCAAAGGGAGGGAACTCAAGTGTGGTACTATAACATAACCTAATACATATGGCCAGAGTGGTCATAGATCTTAGAGAAAACCCCAAAACTCTCACATCACTAGACTAATGTGATTTCTTACTATGTACAAAATATGTATCCTTATATTTACAGACAAATATCCCAGTCACCACTCATCAAAGAAGCTCATTTTGCAGCAGTCAGAGACTAATACCAAGTACCACAACTGGTCACACACAGACATTGTCTATGAATTGCCCGGGCCTAAGGGACACATCTACAATACAACCTCTACACCTAAGGTTCATGGAACATAGAACAGGGATAAAGAAGAAGACACTAAGGACTCAGTGCTCAATAATGAAGCTCCTCATGCAGCAGAGGCCCAGGAACACAAACGGTCACAAATGGCCAAAGTGTGGAGATCAAGAGTCTGCTAAATAACAGTCCTTGGACAGGAGCCCTTTATTAAACTTCATCCACCCAAGGCTCAGCAACCATTGTGGAAGAGGGTGGAGCGATTGTAAGAGCCGGGGAGGATGGGCATGACCATATGGAAACAGAGTCCTACAAGCTCCTGGGAACCTGCTCATATGAGTCTATGGCAATGGTGTCAGCATACACCAGTCCCATGCAAACTCAGGCACACAGTAACACAGCATAGAACTGGGAAAACGAACAGCAGACCCCAATCTTATCTAAAGGAATGTTGGCAACTGATTGCTGCTAGGTGAAGAAGAGCTGATCTTCCTGAAACAATGGACTCTAGATAGGCTGACTAGACTCAGTGGATGGACTTGCACTGGGGAACGGCTGGGGGCACTGACAACACAGTGGGCAGTAACAGGGATGACAGAGTACATGGGCTCCAGTGCAGGGTGGGGGAGCTATGGGAGGGTGCCATTTGGGATGAGGGTATAAAGATGACTAAGATTTTTTGGGATGTTCTGTATGAAATACACACAAAAAAATCAATAAAAAAAGACAAAGGATAAAATTCCATCCTGAAAAATAATTTTGCATAGAAAGTAATTGTGGATGGAGGAGGGAAGGTGAATGAATATGTGTATGTCCTCGCATGTGAAGCCAGAGGTTGGACTCAGTATCCTTCATCAGGCACCATCCACCTTGTTTTTTGGGATGTCTCACCAACCTGAAACTAACCAATTAGGCTAGGCTGGCCAGCAAGCCCTAGGGATCCACCTGTCTCTATTTCTCCAGTGCTGGGATTACAAACTTGTACATCCACATCTGGCTTTTTAATTTGGCTCTGCAGATAGAAATTGGGTCCTTGTGTTGACAAGGCAATCACTTTACCAACTGATCTCCTCAGCCCATATACAAACTATTTTTGTAAATTGCTTGCTTGAAATGTCAAAAAAAAAAAAAAAAAAAAAAAAAAAAAAAAGCTAGGCACGGTTGCATGAGCCTGTGATCCCAGCACTGGGGAGGAGACAGGAGGCTTTTAGGTCAGGCTGTCTAGCCAATCTGCAAGCTCCAGTTTCCCTGAGAGACCTTGCCTCAAAACATGAGAGCAATTGAGGAAGACACCCAGTGTAGATCTCTAGCCTCCATGTGCATATACACACATGCATGTGCACACACATTAACACAAAAGTAGCATGGGAAGTGACAAAAATTAAAGAATGGCAGCCCAATCCAGGGCATAGCAACAAATAATCAATATAGAAAACTGAAGGGAAAAGTTTAAGCTCTGTGACAGCCTCCTGATGCTCTCCTTTTTGAATTCCAGACAAAACTTAAGAAAGATACTTTATTATAGAAAAACTTTGGACCATTTCAGGGCCACTTTCAATTTCATTTCAGGGTTGTTTGGTGTTTTAGTAGAATCAGATAAAACCAAATTTAAATACTGAATAAGTAGTCCCTGTAATATGGGTCTCTAGCAGAATTGCTTATCTGTGTATCTTTTTTTTTTTACATTTATTTATTTGGGGAATGGGTGTATGAGTGCCATGGTGTACATGGGAAGGTCAGAAGACAACTTGTAGGGGTCAGTCTCACTTTCTACCATGTGGGTCCTGGGGATCAAACCCAGGGGTCATCAGGCTTGGCAAGTGCGTTTACCCACTGAGTCATCTCAATGGCTCTGTGTATCCATTCTTAAATCTGTATATAGGGGCTAGAGAGATGGTTCAGAGGTTAAGAGCACTGGCTGCTCTTGTGGAGGATCTGGGTGTAGTCCCAGCATCCACATGGTGGCTAACAACTGTCCGTAACTACAGTTCCCGGGGATCCAACGCCCTCTTCTGACCTCTGTGGGTATTGCATAACTGGGGTGCACTTACATACATGTAGGCAATACACTCATACACATAATAAAAAAATAAAACATTTTAAAATCTGTATATGTACAAAGGAAGTCTGTAAATACAGTCATTTAATATTAATAATGTAGCTGGTAGAAATTTTCATTTATTTATTTATTTTGGTAGTGTTATTTCTCTGCTTCACTTGAATTCTTTGTAAGCATCAGATATCGGTTTTATAAAACCCAACATATTATTAAGTCTATTAACAATTTTACCAGTAAATCAAATGTTTAAAGAGACATAAAAAGAAAATTTTGTACCTTAAAGAACAATTTACCAGACATAAAACAGAATGGTTAGAACAAATAAAGAAGCCAGAGTAGCATTATATTAGGATCACTCTTCCTTAATTAAAAATCTACTTTTAAAACAATGACTAATGAGGAAGCAAACTTTTAACACTATCTTGCAACAAACTGATCTAGGAAGGTATTAAAAACAGTTTATTTCAACTCTTACTTTCCATAATTTTATTTTATCACAGGTAATATCTCCATTCTATTACTTTGCTGGGCACATTCACGAGAATTTCATAAAATTTTATAAAAAGTTAAATAAGAATTAAAAGTAAAGCTAAAAGCAGAGTGATAAAGGACTCACTTTCATGTGCTCTAATCCCTAACAGTTATTTTTTCTATATGGGAGATTTCTTATCTTTAGACTTATTTTCACTTTAGGGGAAGCATGGCCTCTCACCCGAGCTCTCCCGAGACTGCCTTTGTTTGTTCATATTGACCCAGTGGTACCTGTCTACCCGGCATCCCACAGTCCTGTAACACTTAGGGTTCCTGGGCCCTGGGTGGTAACAGATCCCTGGAAGGCCCCCACGGCCATCTGCCACATGCTTTCTACGGGGATGGTAGAACCAAGGTTGGAAGGGCTGTTTCAAATTTTCAACCTGGGGGAGGGAGAAGAAAAACATATGACAATCATAGCCTCATTGGCAGTTCTCAGGACTAACTATGAAAAGTGAAGCTGTCCAAAAGTGTAGAGATTACAAATTAAAGGAAACGTAAGTAAATAGTCACCTACAGAAAAATTTTCAGTATCTTATATACTTTAAAGGTCATTAATTATACCTTTAAGCAAAATTAATTCTTAAATGCAACTAAAATTATTTAAACTTATGTTGCAAGTCTTTAAGTTACTTGGGAAGCTGAGGCAGGAGAATCAAAAGTCCAAGGCCTCATTGGGGAAATTAGTGAGACATTGTCTCAAAACAAAAAAATTAAGTAACAAAAGGGTTGGGGATATAATTCAGAGGCAGATGCCTATCATGCATGAGGCCCTAGGTGCAGCTCTGTGTGTGTGTGTGTGTGTGTGTGTGTGTGTGTGTGTGCGCGCGCGCGCACGCACGCTATACACACAGAATTGATCACATATATATGTATGTATATATATACATATAGCTACACATATAGTTTAGAAAACTGAAATGTTTGCCAATAACATAAGAAAGGATTAAAATGTTTCTGACCCATAAAAAGCTATAATATATGCCGGGCGTGGTAGCGCACGCCTTTAATCCCAGCATTCAGGAGGCAGAGGCAGGTGGATCTCTGTGAGTTCAAGGCCAGCCTGGTCTACATAGTGAGTTCCAGGACAGTTGGGGCTACAGGGAGACCCTGTCTCAAAAAGACAAAAAAAAAAAAAAAAAAGCTATGATGGGGCTGGAGATGGCTCAGCTTTTAAGAGCACTGACTGTTCTTGCAGAGGACCTGGGTTCAATTCCCAGCACCCATATGGTGGCAAACAACACTTCGTAACTCCAGTTCCAGGCGATCTGAGTCCTCTTCTGACCACTGTGGACATTGCATGACACAGGTGCACTTACACAGGTAATACACTCATGCACATAAAATAAAAAGATAAAAAAATTTTTGAAGTTATGGTAATACATGAGGACTTTATAGAATGGGGGAAAATTCATGAAATAGCAAGTATCTAAAACATTTGGGTATATGGAAATCTTTTAAGCACTTAATTTTGTTATAGCTATCATTTTCCAAGTTATTTCTAATGAGAACAGGTCAATTTTAGGAAAAATGGCAGGGCAAATAGTTTGTTTTTAAACATGGAACTAGTGAAATTACAAAAAAACAAAATACAACTTTCTAATAGGTACTTGAACCATAAATTAGAAACCAGTAAAGTATTCATAATGAATGGCCCAGAAATTCCATTTCTGAGAATCAAATCTTTTTAAAAAAATTTATTTTATGTGTATGAGTATAATGCGTAAATGTAGGTTTAATTCACCTGTGCCATGCAATGCTGGAAGAGTTCAAAAGAGGGTGTCAGATCACTTGAACTGGTTGTTAAGAAGGTTGTTAAGCCACCATGTGGGTGCTAGGAATCAAACCTGGGTTCTCTGCAAAAGCAGCCAGTGCTCTTCACCACTGAGCCATCTCTCCAGTCCCTGAGACTCAAATCTTAAGAAATAATTTCCAAAAATAAATGAATAACTTCTTGCCTGTAAGCTTAGTACTTGACAGCACTCAGCAGAGGCAGACTGATCTCTGTGAGTTTGAGGCTAGCCTGGTCTACATAGTAAGTTCCAGGCCAGCCAAGGCTACAGATTGAGACCCTGTATCAGGAACAAAGGGAGGGAGGGAGTGGGATGGGGAGGAGAGGGAGGGGAAGAGGAGGGAGGGGAAGGAAGGGAGGGGAGGGGAGGGGAGGATGAACTTCTACAATGATGTCAATTTTTTAAGCTAGTATTTTGGGGTTTTAGTACTTTTTTTTATAAAGCAACAATGTGAAAAAAAATCTAGAACAATAGCTGATAATTATTGAGGGGAAGGCAACTGAATGTTAAAAAGTTAAATTTTTACTATGGTTAAGATACAATTACACACACAAAGTATTAACAGAGACTCTCTCTAGATTTGTGCTTTTCAAACTATGGGTCACAAAATCAACTGTAGATGCCTGAAATTATCTATTGACTACAATTAGAAATATGGGGAGGGGGATGCCAGTAAATATAAGATTGTTTCATGAAATTTATTTTATTATGATATGCATATCTCTTCATGGATTGTGATTTTATTGTTTTAGATGGTTTGGGCCTTGTTTTCTCTTAAGATAAGCTGCTTTGAACCTAGTTATGGTTTATTTTTTGTTTTTGTTTTTTTTTGGATTGTTTGTTTTTTATTGTTTTAGCCCAGGCTGGCCTGTTGTTTTGGATTGTTTGTTGTTTATTTTTTGTTGTTTTTTGTTAGATTTTTGTTTTGTCTTGTTTGTTTTAAGACAGGGTTTCCCTATAGCCCCAGTTGGCCTGGAACTCACTATGTAGACCAGGCTGGCCTTGAACTCAGATCCAGAGATCTGCCTGCCTCTACCTCCCAAGTACTGGGACTAAAGGCGTGCACCACCACACCCAGCTAACCTAGTTATTTTTTTTAAGGTTTTCATTTTAATAAACTGCACTAGTGCCAAAATTAAAGAGTTTTAATCCTTCTTAAATATTCTAGGCTGTCAGGGCTGAAGAGATGGCTCAGCAGTTAAGAACACTGACTGCTCTTGCAGAGGACCCAGGTTCAAATACCAGCACACACATGGTGGCTAACAATGGTTGGTAGCTCCAATTCCTGGGGATCTAACACCCTCTTCTGACCTCCATGGGCATTGCATGACACGGGTACGCTTACATGCAGGCAATACACTCATACATATAATAACAAAATATCTAAAAAATATTCTAGACTGTCTATAAATGGTATGGTATTTGATTAATAAAACAAATGCACTAAACTGGGTGTGGTGGTCCACACCTGTAATCTCAGCACTCTAACAGGTAAGAGGCAGAAGAATGGTGAGCAACAGGCCAGCCTGGGCTACATAGAGAGACCTTGTCTCAAACGAAAACAGAAGCCACTAAAATTAATATAAGGAATTTAAGTGGAAGTAAACCCAGGTGTCTTCAAGTAATGTGTGAAGAAACAGAATGACAGAAAGAAAAAAAAAATCACATAGCCCCTAACTCAGTCAAGTGGCAAATACCCAGGTGTTGTGGGGATAGAAAATGGGTCTGCCAAAATATTGACATTGGAGAGGTTATCTTTATAACTTCATTCTTTTCCTGTTTTTTTACACTGAGCATGTGCTTTTTAGAATTAGGATAAAAGAACACAGAGAAGAATGGAACACATGGAACCTGGTAGACACTCTTCGGATTGCTGACTTTAGGAATGATTTGAGGCTCTCTGTTACAGCTTTCTTCATCAGAAGATGTGCCAGATGAGCAGTCTGATGTGGCTCTATCAACCACATAGCTGATTTGTTGGGCTAGCTCCCATTCCTCCCATCTGCCTTTAAAAGAAGCAACTGTAAATGGATGCTTTTTCTCACCATACCTAAACAGGAAAAAGAAAAAGGCTCATCAGAGATTCAACTTCCCATAAATTTTATCTCTAATTTTGTCTGGGGACAACATGCTTTTTAAAATATTTTATCTATTATTTTTATTTTATGTGTGAGTGTATTGCCTGCATGCAGGCAGGTGCTCCCATGTTGTGCAATGCCTAAAGAGATCATAAGAGGGCGTTGGATCCCCTGGAACTGGAGTTACCCACGTTTGTTACCACCTTGTGGGTGCTGGGAATCAAACATCAGTCCTCTGCAAAAGTAGCCAGTGCTTTTAACCACTGAGCCATCTCTCCGGCCCCTAACATGCTAACTTTTTAAAAATATATTTTTATCAAATTTTTGTGGATTTCATACAATACATCTTAATCATATTTAGCTCCCCTTCCCTAGCCACAGCCCCCATAGCCCACCCCCAGGACTTCATGTATTTTGCTATGTATGTTAAGGCCTGTCAAGTCCATCTACATAGATGTTCCTCAGTGTGAGTTCATTCCCTGGAGCCTTTGTCTAGCCTCACTCCCTTTAAAAAAGACTAACTTTTAAGAAGCTATATTTAAAGGGATGGCTCTAAAAAGGCAAGTTGAAGTACATTATCATGTGAAGCTACTGTGTTCATTTGATTAGGGAGGAGATCCTGTAACAGGTATTCTATTTAGTTAGGAAAAAAAAGTTTATTTTGATTCAATTAATGGACTGAATTGTCCCCCTGTGGTGGTGGATGATTCCTCTTCCTTCCTGACGTTGCCTATGATACTAAAAGTTAGGAGTCTGTAGTATTCAATAGGTTGCAAATGATTAGTCATACTGCAAATACACTGTAGTATCTTTGTGCTTGCTAATCCCTCCATCCCTAAAAGAGATGTGTGCTGTCTAATAAAAAATCTGCATCTAAAATCAAACAATGTCCTTGTTGCTAAAACAAGGCTTTGAGGCATTATCTTTCACTAAGATACATAGAGCCAACTAAATAACCCAAAGTCTCTAGGAATCACCAACCACACAAATCATGAAATTACTCACCTACAGCACACCTCAAAGGGATCCACCCATATGGTCATCTCCTTTGGAAGTCCCAGGTGAGAAAAATTCACATTACTTTCAGCACAAGCCCTTTCTAAAATAGGGTCTTTATTCTGATTATTGTTTATCCTGATACACCTTAGGAGAATTAAGCAGAAAGGAATGGGAAATGAAGGCATAATGACAGGTACTTCAGCAGGAAAAAAAAAAATCACATCGTGGGTACAGCTCTGACTTTACACCGATCTTCCCCTCATCCTCCTTCACCCTCCACTCTTACAAGTAAAACATCACCAGCTTCTGCTAAAGGGACTTGGAATATGTGTTATTGTGTTGTTAAATCACATATTAGGTTACCAGATGTTCACTGTTTATCTATTATGGTAAACACAGTTTAGAAATTGTCTAATTTGGGGCTGGAAAGATGGCTCAGAAGAGCACTGGCTGCTCCAGCAGAGGACCTGGGTTCAGTCCCCAGCACCCATATGGTGGCAACAACCATCAGTAATTACAATTCCAGAGGATCTGATGCGCTCTTCTGGTCTCTAAGGGCATTTCACATACATGATGCACTTACATACATGTATACAAAACATTCATATACATAAAATAGGTAAATTAAAATGTTTTGTCTAATGCACCTCACATACATGTATGTAGCTGTCAACTATACTGTCATCTACCACACCTCTGCCTTTCAAACCCATGTTCAAACGATCTACTGAGAACCCGGAAGACTTTCCTTACTTGGAGACAGACACCAAAATTTGTTGTGTTTTCCTAGCAGCTGTCATTGCTAATCGATCCCCTGCACTGCTCTCACCTGAAAGCCTGCCCTTTAGAAGGACAGCTGGGGTACCAGTGACCTCTGTACGTTTCAAACAAAATTTTCATCAGCTTCAGTGCAAAGTTTTCTATCTGTTGTTTGCTCAGTTTTTCATGTTTTTTTACCAGTCTTGTGACAAAAAATACTGCTGTTGCAATTTCATCTCTCATGATTCAAAAGCTGTGAGGAAAGCAGACATTACTGAACAGAAGCAAAGAAAGATCACCTAGAAACCAAGGCTTAACTTAGCACCAATATGTATCTGCCATTTGGAAACTTTATATGCCTTAAACTTGAATCGTTTGCTAAAAAGAAATCCTTAGTGAACTAAGTAAGCATATTAGCACAACCAGATACTCTCAGTTCCACAATTTTCCTGTTTACAGTTTTTCTAAAGAAAATGTCTTAAAAATGTTTAAAACACTTAAATGAAGAGCAACGTGCAGCCTAAGCATAAAACTTATTAATGTGGAACAGAAAATTACACAAATGATCACTTTTTTTTGTCTTTTTGAGACAGGGTCTCTCTGTAGCCCCAGCTGGCCTGAACTCACTATGTAGACCAGGCTGGCCTTGAACTCACAGAGATCTGCCTGCCTCTGCCTCCCGAGTGCTGGGATTAAAGGCGTATGCCACCACGCCCAGCAAAAATGACCACTTTTTAAGAATATACTCACAGAGGAGAAAACATTCAGGAGACAGCAGTTGGAAAATGTGGCTTGCAAAGTTGTACACTAAGAGTTAAGATTAATTAAACGTACACTTGCCAGGAAAAATCCCTTTAGTTCAACCATACTATACTATTTGTTGCTAACTCTTACCCACACGTGTTTTGTGAGTTTTAGGTCACTCCATATATACCTAGAGCTGATTGGTGGGTTCCACCATACAAGTGCTCTCCATTAGGATAATCACATAGCTTCTTCCCCAGGACTCCATCTGATTCCTCTGTGGCATATATAGAGTAGTCTCCAAAGTGTTTATTTTCAAACTGGATTTATGGTTTCTGATTTGCTATTAAAATACGATCTTTTATGACAAAGAGTAAAAAAAAAAAAGTAGCCTTTTCCCTCTGTATTCTAATAGTCTACATTCTAATAATTTCATCTCTGAATTTTATCTTGGATGTCTTACAAAACTTAAGTCAATCTTTTGTTAACCAACCTCATGTTCATTGAATACTGGTTATTGTTGCTGTTGTTTTAGCAAATGCTTCATTGTGGAGCAAGTAGAGGAGTTCTGAATGTAGTCTCAATTACTCCCCAGGGGTAAGTCAGTGACTTCCTGATTAGGATCCACTTGGGTTGCTTATTAAAATGCAGATTCTTGGATCTTAATATCAGATCTACTTAAGTGATCTTTTAAAGGTAAGGCACGCTCATCAGTATTTAACATGTTCCCCCAGATGATTCTTTAAACCCACTCTACTAATAGATATAAGCCTTTAACGGCCACAATTACTGATCACTCAATTTCTTCAAGAGCAAGATGAACTCTCTCTCTTACCCAGAAAACCATTTCATGTCCAAAAAGCTCCAAATAGTAGCCTATTTGGTGTATGAAGCCAAATCCACCTCTTCGATTTTATACCTAGGCAACCTAGTTGGCATTGGATTTACACAGATTGTATGTAATCCTCCACCACATGAGGATATTTTATATATGAGCTATTTGGCCTCCTGAGTTTTCTTTTTTAGGAGGCTAAATATTCTCAGCTTGCTAACAGCTCTTCCTGTGGGTATGTTGCTTAGATAGCACCACAGCTTGGCAAGCTCACATCTGGATGAGGTTCACACTATGTGGCAGGCTCATATCCTGTTTTAAAGTATTTGCATACACAGTGCACCAGGTCTGCTCCTCTAGTAAAGACTCATGTGGAATTGTCACCTCCCTGGCTCTGAGTACTGTGCCATAGGAGGCAGCCTCGGGTAGCTCTTCCCTTGCTGGCAGTGGCAGCACATCACGACCTCACACTGAATTTGCAAGTACTTTTCTCCACTAATGCTGCTGGATTTGTCACATCTTTCCCTCCCTGTACAGCAAAGTGTTTAAGAATATAGACTGAGTCTGACAGATCTCGATGTGACTTGCAACTTTTCAACTATTAACTGAGTGCAGTGGCATACACTTGCAATTCAAGCTCTGGAAAAGGTTTAGGAAAGGAGGGTCTTGCATTCAGAGCCAGTCTGGGCTACACTGTGAGTTCCAGCACATAAAACAAAACAGATGTAAAACAAAACCCTCACTATCTGTATAATTTTGGCACCTTGTTTTAAATAGCTATGACTTTCAGTTTCCTGTCAGTCAATGGAGGTTGCAAGGCAGCTTCACAAGATTCTTATCAAGATTACAACAGATAATCAAGACACCTGGTCCTAAGCCTGCAGGAAGGAAGAACAATCAAAAGAAAACACAAATCAGCTACAAAATCAGTATTGTGGGTTTGAATCCCAGTCCTCCAGCTTATTAGAAATTTAGCAGTTTCTCAACTCTCTAACCTTCGTGATCCCCATCCAAAAAGAGGGAAACAAAACTATCCTGTGAAGAATTTGGAACTAGACTCCTGGCTCAATACTCTTCCATTGCATTGGGTTGGATCCTACCCCAATCAAGTGTGTGACCTTAGTCAGTGATTTAACCTCCCTGTCCCCATTTCCTCACATACACAAAGTAGATAATAACAGCGTCCACATTGTAGGGTTATTATGAGAATTAAGTTTAAAATGCTTAGAACAGCTGGGTGTGGTGATGCACACCTTTTATCCCAGCACTCAAGAGGCAGAGGCAAGTGGATAGCTGTGAGATCAAGGTCACCTTGGAATGGTCTGCGTAGCAAATTCCAGGCCAGCTGGGGCTACATTGTGAGACCCTGTCTCAAAACAAGAAAAGGTGCTTAGAACAACACCTAGACTTCAGTAAGTACTATGAAGTTATATGTTAGATATAACTATTGCCAGCATCACTATGACTGTGGTCTTATAGGGATCTTGCCAAGGTTAAATTACAAAACCGTCTTGTTTTATATAATGTATGACATAACGCAAGTACTCAAAGTAGTGGCCTTTCTTATTAACAAACATGAAGGATTTTATACTTATCATTTTATTATATGTCACTTTTAATGCTGTACTGGTTAACTAGAATAGAAAACACCTACATATTGCAGTACACCTGTCATACTTCACTGTTGATTAATTTGCAGTGCTGAGAATCAAACCCAGGGCTGGTTCCAATGCTAGGCAAGTGCTCCACCCTGAGCCCTATCTCCTCCCCATGTGTTAAATTTAGGTCACTGCTACAGTGAATCAAGATTGTTTGTTACCCTGATTTCGTTATTCAGTCAATTATCTCTTTTGGTTTTCTGTCATTTGCATATTTAATAAGAATACCAGCCAGGCACAGTGGCACATGCCTTTAATTCCAGCACTTGAGAGTCAGAGGCAGGCAGATCTCTGTGAGTTTGAGGCCTGCCTGGTTCCAGGCCAGCTGGGGCTAAGGGGAGACCTTGTCTCAAAAACAAACAAACAAACAAAAACAAAAAAGAATATCAACTGTGCCTTCCAAGATACAAGTTGAAAACAATAAAATCAAGCAAAGTACTTCAACAAAGTCTCAGGTGATACCCCTTTCTGACTGCTGATCCTCTCTTTAATTCTATCAATGGAAAGATAGTCACCAGAAGGGCAAGTAGTAGGGATTGGCTGGGGTGCCAACAACACAGCAGACAGTAGCAGGGATATCAAAGAATAAGGGCTCTAGTGGGGGGAGGGAGGCTGTGGAAGCCCACTACCTGGGAAGTGAGTCTATAAAAAAAAAATTCTTCAAAGCATAAAAATTTGCTCCTTAATAACTAGTATATGTGAAAAACATTATCACTGAAATCTACCTGATGTCTTTATATCCATGCTCAAATGCTAAGGAGCTCAGAAAGTAACTGACTGTGACTAGTAATAATCAGATATACAGAGATTAGAAACGCATATGCA